GAGACTCGTGTTGCGTGTGACAAATAAGATTCAAAGCCTGGTCCTCTGACCAAGAAGTTCTCGGTCACGGATGACAGAGAAATACTCGAGGCAATTGCATCACACCAAGTTTCAAGTTTAATAGATTCATGTGGTGCCCGTCTGAATTCGTTTGTAAAATTCCTGGACTACGCGTTCCTTGAGACAAATGGGAAACAGTAAGTGTATTTTCCTTTTGACAGAGCATTTTAAACTCCAAAATATTCTGTAGGTCATTGATTGTTTCGGATGCATGCTTCCTGGATGGTGGAGTATGGAAGCGCACACACTCAAACCCTATCCTTCAAGATATGAAAGTGGTAAGTCCTTTCTTTGGTTTTAATTCTAAAATAACTGCTACAATTGAACTTGCCAGGGTCAAAAACGAGCCCAGGAGTCCATGGAAAAGGTATTTCACGTCTAAACCAGTTTATTCAATTTGTTCCCTTTGATACAGGGAGAGAGCTCAAAAAAGGCCGTCATAAAAGAGGTGTTCATCAAAGAAATCAGTGACCGTTCTTACAGGTGGTCCTTCCGTGCAAGAGTCACACACAAGAACAAGTTGATACATTTCAACACGAAAAGATCTGGATGCATAATGTCATTTGACGTTGTCGATGTCCAGGGAACAGAGATTAGAATTATTGGCTCCGACGATTGTGCCTTGGTTTTGTCAGATAAGATTGTACAGGGTACAGTGTATTCATTTTCTGGTAGTGGTGGAATACGACGTTCCAATCAGGCATACACACCATTTGAAGCGACATGGGAGATTCAGGCTAACAAAGGTATGGAGTTTACAGCTTTGGATGAGGATGCAACGTTCCCAAGAATTGTCTTGGCAAAAACAAGCATATTAAGTGCGTGTCAGAAGGAAAGGGACTCTTTTGTCGATGTGGTTGGTATCGTAATATGGATTGGTACAATTACAGTAACATCTCGTGACAGTGGAACTTTTGTGAAGAAGAGAACATTGTGTCTAGGTGATGATTCAGGCCACAGTGTTGATCTATGTCTCTGGGATTTAAAAGCAGAAGAAGAGGGCTCATATATACAGGAGCGGATAGACAGTGGAGTTCAGCCAATAATATGTGTCAAGGGTGGAAAAGTATCGGACTACAATGGTAAATCACTTTCAGCAATTGGTGTGAGCACCATTCTTATTGAACCGGAAATGGAAGCAGTGGCTGATTTGAGAGAATGGATGACATTGTACTACAATGTCACTAACTTCATACATTTGAGCACTTCATCATCCAGACAGACTGTTAGCTGCACCACTACTTTATCAGAGATATCAAACATGCAGTTAAAGGTGTTAGAGAGTTCCCCTATCTATAGAGTGATAGCTACTGTGAAGGAAATGAAGACAGATGAGTTTTTACTATAATGCATGCATCAATGTCGTGAATGCACGGCAATGTGGCAAAAAAACTACCCGAACAGCAGATGGTTGGTTCTGCAATTATTGCAATTTTGAGTCTGCCAACATGGAGTTCAAGTATGCTCTAAAGATGTGCATCGAGGATAGTAGCAGTCATGTGTGGGCCATTGCATTTCAAGAGGCTACACAGGAAATAGTGGGAATGTCAGCAAAGGAACTAGCTACAATGTGAGATGAGAACTACCCTGCATTTTCACTACTTATCGATGGTATCCGCTCAAAGATTTACAAATTCAAAATCCGGAGCAAGCTTGAAAAATACCAAGACATGGAGAAGCTAAGGTTCTATATACTTGGACTTGACACCTAAGGTATGCAGATTCCATTCTAATCTTTTACACGTTGATATATTTATCTGTGTTTTGTTTTGTAGTTACATGGAACTTGCAAAAACAAATAAAATAAAACACACCTCCTAGCAAACATCAGCTCTGTTTGATGGTTATCTGTAGCAAGAAAGGAATGTCAAGATACAAAAACTAAAAAAGGGAAAGAACAACACATGATTCTCAAGTGGACAATAAATGACAAATGCATCAACTGTATCAGAATTTAGCATGTTATAATGAACAAACACATAGACCACCAGAAAATACAGTCATTTATACTTCAATACACATCGCTTGCTTGCAAATGCAAAACCAGCCATTCTATACCAAAAAACCCTTTACCATACCATCCCATTAACTACTCTTACCTCTAGAATGCCCAAATAATATACCAAATTGAGGAATATGATTGAGCCACCTCTTCATGTGTTGAATAATTCTTTTAAGCTTTGAGTCCCAGCTTGTATTATTCTATTCCAGTTAAACATTTAAGAAATAGTGTTTGGTTGCAATCACTT